TAAATCACTCACCTGATGTCTGAACTTGACTTGCTGATCCACCAGCGCTCGCACCAACATCAACGTGTGCTCCTGATGCACTAATCTATCCGCCGTGCCATGTATCAACATCAAATTGCGACCCTTAATATTGCCAGCCTTCATGGTCAAGTCGGCCTCCTGCAAAGCGCGCAAGTAGTCGCCCTTCAGCGGTATGTAACGTTCGGTGAAAAATGAGTCTGCAACGATTACAAGGAAACAGAACAATACATTGTTAATGTGAGCACACAAAGGACGTGTGGCTTGCGAGTCAAGTGTAGCGAAAATAACTGTAAATTGCAAACTTACAGTGATAGCCAAAGGAGACAATCGGGTTGACGGCCACAGAGCATTGCAGCACTTGGTGGGAGTCATCGATGAGCGTCATGGTGGCCGCGTAGCCGCCGTAACCCCAGCCGTAGGCGCAAATACGTGATGGATCAATGAATTTCAAATTATCGCGCAGGTAGCTAGAGGTGTGTGTGTGTGTGTGTGTGGAAGAGAAAAGCAATAAAGTAAACAAAGTGAGTAAGAGCTGTTGACGAACGCTGTACGCATTTAATGAGTTTACACAAGTTTACTGGGTTCAAAGTTTGAGGTCAGTGTCTTTTAGAGTTACTAAAGTGTGTACGCGCAAGTTTATGACTGTCGGCGCACACGTTCGTGTGTGATATTAGTGTTCAATGCTTACGTTAATACGCCCAGTTGATCTTCCACTTCGACGGTGCCCAGCTTGCCGTGCACCTGTGTGCGCAGGAGCTCGCCCTGAAATCCGCTGCCACGTCCATCAATTTGCGCCACAATCATGGAGCGTTGACTGCTCAAATACCAGTTCCAATCCACTTGATACTTTTCGGTGACCAGCTGTGAACCCGGCGCCGCGTTGCTGTAATTAAACAGGATAACGTAGGTATTTTAGTTTCATTGCTGGCGTCGTGAGTTCTAAAGTTATAAACTGAGCTCGACAATCCTACTTACATGTGCAGTATGAGCGGAAAGGCGACCTCTTCGTCCTCGCGCATTCCTGGCGGCAGGTAGAGACGGACTTGCGCGTGGAAGCCGTGCCGTATCTCTACGCTGAACGTACGTATTTGTGGCAAGGCGAGCTGCTGCAAACGGTATCGCAAGCTGTGACCCGCGTTAAGTATATATGTCTTCATGTTGCTCTGTGTCTCCACCATGTAGACGCTGGGTGACTCCGGTCCCAGGCACTCTTGCACATAGTGCGAGTAGTCTTTGCTGAAGTAGATTTTATTGTAAAGACAGTTCTTTGGTATATCATAGTAACACTCAGTTTCGTCATCGCTGCGGTTATCAGCGTCCTCTACAAGTATACCCTGTGCAGATAGACGAAAAGTGGATATGGTGTTGTCGCAGGTCAAGCATGTCGGCTGTGTTGAAGTTATATACGCGCGATTGCTCTGCGTCTCATTCAATTTGAGACTGATCTTATAGAGGTGCCGTTCACCCGGACGTTTCTCGGGCGCCGCCATAAAGTAGACAATCTCATGCGCTTCATCCCAACCCAAAAGCTCGGTGACTTCGAAGCGTCCCATTGTGAGTGGCACCGGTCGGCGATCCAACGAGGAGATGAAAACCACATGTCGGAAGTGTCCGTGTTCACCATCACGCACCGGAAGACGTTTGAGCAGATAGCCGCCATGTGAGATCTCATAAGTGGTCTGACCATTGCTCACATTGTGGTAGCTGTTGTTGCCATTAAGCCCATTGACAAGCAATTGTTGTTGGTTTCTTTTGAGATTTACGCTATTGTGTACAGAAAATATGGGACGCTCGGCGGGTAACACCCAGCCATCGTTAACTGTTACCTCTGTGTGCACGGGATGGCAATGGAAGTCCGGTGCGCGGCAAACCACCGTTGTCGCCTTAGTTTGACCACGATTGGTAATCGTCACGGAGAGGTCGATGGGTGTGGCCCAAGTTAGCGCGCCAATGTAGCTACCATTCGATAAATCGGCTGGAAGTTTGATTTGTGTGGGGAAGATATATTTGAGGACGGAGAGGTTTACCACATTCACGGTGACATTTGGATTGATTTCGCCTGCCTTGGGGTAGCGTTGTGTTAGCACAGCAGGGTACTTGATGTCGTCGCCCATCCAGGTGTATCTATGGATCGGGGAAGACGGAATAAAAAAAGGAAAAATTGTGTAAAAAGAGGTTAAAAGCATATGTTTGATAATGCAATATTTTGGAATAAATTGGATATGAGGTGGAGGCATTACTGCGTGATTCTTGCAATTAGTACCCCTCGAATTTTAGAAGGTTTGTAATCATTAAGCAATAGAGATGCTAAATATTTCTAAAGTACTAGGAGGAGCTTCATCGAAGCTTGTCTACGCACTACATCTCTTTTTGTTAGGACTTTGCCTTTTGAAGAGAGTTTCAATAGCGTCAACCATTTCTTTGATTCTACTAGAAAGATTTTCCGCCCTTAGATTAGTTACCATGGCGTTGGAACCCGAGGTACGGAGTCTGGTTATATTTATTTGGAAGAACGAGAACAGAGTTTGCTTAAGACAATTTATAGATTATTGAGCTTTTTAACCTTGAGCTTAAGCTTTGTGAAAAATTTAAGCGTTGTTTTAATCCCCTTGGGTGTAACAAAATTTTGACATAAAAAGCTAATAGAGTTTTAAATATTCATAACGGTACTCACTTGTATTCATTCACATCACTGTCGTTGAATGTGAGAAACGCTAAAAATAGACCATCCGGTGAGAAGGCGAGACCGCTGCTGCGCCCATTCAGCTCCGGCACGTTCTCATACGTCCAATCCGGGATGCCATTGTAGACGATGCCAGCGCGACCTGATGCCGGCAAACATAAACAGACATACATATAAGTAGATAAAGCAGCAGCATACACCCACATGAATGACAGAATAAGAAGAATAAGAAAAGAATGAATGATGAAAAAATATGGATGTAGAAAGCTGAGCTTCGTTTAAAATATTTGAATAGTAAAAAACTAACAGTGAATAGTTGTTGTGCCACCCACATACACTAACTCACTCACCTGTTGTTGTAATGCGACACACTAGCTCGCCTTGAACCTTCGGCTTGTAGTAGATGTCGTTCTCGTACACAAAGGCGATTGCCTGATTTTGTGGAAACGCTTTTACCGCGCCGCCATTTGGATATTGGAAATTACTCGGCGGCGGCTTGCCCACACCGCCACCGGTCGCTGCACCCGCCAAACTGCTCAGCAAGATGCTGCCACCACTCGAGGCATTCACGGCATTCGCTGTCGCAGCGCTGGCCGCTGTACGTGCCGCATATGTTGTTGTGTTGGTTGGCGCTCGCGTTGTAGTTGTTGTGCTGGTTGCTGTTGTTGTGGTGGTGGTGGTGCTTGTTGTGGTTGCCGCGGGTGCGGGGGGGGGCGCCGACGCCCATGTCACATATTGCAGGCGCGGCGGTTCTGCTATGTTCTCCGTTGGACCCAACGGGAAGGTGTTCGCTGTCTGTACCTCGTAAACGTGATGTCTGCGTGTTGTTTTTGGTGCAAGTAGAAAATTAAGGCATTAAAAATAATTCCGGCGAAATGTTAATAATTAAAATATTGAGGTATTTCGCATCTGCTTTTAAGTTGTGGTTGTTGTATGTGTGCTTGTGGGTCAATGATTTGACTCGCGTAATGTAAATATTTATGAATATATGAATATATGTTTGTATGTATTATTTCTGTTGTTTTGACTCACATGGCAATTAAACGCAAAAAATATTAACGTTGTCATAAAATTTTGTTTCTTTATCTCCGCATCTGTGCAAATGTTTATCATACGCCATGTGGCTCACGCTTTCGTGATACAATATTTAGCAGCAAGAAATTGCCATTTCCTGAATCATTTGTTGTGCAAACTATGTATCATTGATCATTTACACGCATAGGCGAGTTTAGGGTGCATTCTACGGCAATAATAATTTTTGAATATTGTTGGAAAAAAATTAAAAAAATAAGCAGGCAAAGGCTAACTAAGAGCGAGCGTAGTTGAACATGTATGGCTGGAGATGTGTTTTCAGTTGTTGGAAAAACTTTATTCCCGAAACTATGAATGGCTTATAATCAACAATAATGATTACATTTTACGAGTTTTTCAATTTTTAGTCTGGTTTGATCATTTATAAGTTAACATATTTACCTAACGTCCTAAAAACGTCGCTTATATTTATTCATTTATTCGACAAAAAAATCGAAAAGAGCAGCGAAAATCTTCAAATTGGGTATTTTGGGGTAGACCAAGGTCTGAACCAAATTGATGCAATTATATTTGTCACATAGTTCACTAGAATAACGAAAATCATTATATGTAGTATATAGTGGCTGGGGTAATTTTTGAACCGATTTCACAACTTCTCACACAAATTATAAACAAACAAGAATAAACGTTAACATCGAAGCTATAACACATTTCACAAATACAAAAGGCTACAAGAACATGATTCCGATCGTTCAATTTGTATGGCAGCTATATGATATAGTGATCTGTTCTGAACAATTTCAGCGGAGAATACATTGTTGCCTTAGGAAATAACTTAGGCTAAATTTCGTGAAGATACCTCGTCAAATAAAAAAGTTTCTCATACAAGTACTTGATTCCGATTATTCAGTTTGTATGGCAGCTATATGCTATAATGATCCGATATGGGCCGTTCCGACAAATGAGCAGCTTCTTAGTGAGACAAGCACAGGTGCGAATTTTCAGATCGATAGCTTAAAAACTGGGGGACTAGTTTGCATATATACAGACAGACGAACAGACAGGCCGACATGGCTTAATTAAATCATCATGCTGATCACTTATGCATATATTTTATAGGGTCTCCAACGGAGCAATATGGATTAACTTTAAATGCTAGATAAAAGAATTGTGTGTGCTATTCTTTACCATTTAGCCGTGGAGTGCCACACACATAGAAACATTATAGGTAAATAGCAGAATTAGCCTTTGTGTTTCCGACGCCCACTTGCGATGTAAATAATGATGTATTTGTTTAGCGTAAAAACTACAAAAGAAATGAGCTTCCGACAAACAATATTTTGTTGTGTGTAAAATAAAGTGTAAATATAATCGCTAATAAATTTTATACACACCTCGAGCCTTCCGCATTGCTGTCGGACTGCAGTAGCACATACTTCTGATCGGGCGATACAAGAAACGATTCAGCATTCAGTTGGCGCTGTGAAAAGAATCAGAAGAAAATAGGAATGAATCTATAGAAAAAACATTGAAAAAAGCTGCAATGCCAACACTTACGAATGTCGAGTTGGTCATTAGGACCCTCGTTGTGTAATTGTCTAGATTTAATATCGATAAGCCGCCCGTGGGGTCACGGTATATTAGTTCAATGTCTGCAAAATAGAAAATAAATAAAAAGAACGTTGCGATTAAGAACGGAAGTAATAAAAAAGTGGATAACCCACATACACAGGTACACTTACCGCTACTCCAAGTGCCGTTGAAGGGCTTCCACTGCAAACTTTTGCCTAAAATGTCAGGCAGCACCATGTGACGGCCGCGTATGCGCAACCCTTCATCCTCTGTAAGCGCATGTAAATTAGATGGAAATTAAATGAGGCAAATTAATGAAAGTGTGCAGGGGAAGAGGAGGGGTGGAGTTCAAATTCTACCGAAAAGGTGTGTTGCAAATGCGCGTAGTCACAAATGGCAACAGCACGCAAAATACGCATGGAAATGTTAACTCCAAACGGCATTAACACACATACGTATGCATATGTTTGTTTGTATGTGTGAAAACTTTTCACTTTGTTCTAATGCGTCAAATAATTTTAATGTCTTTGGGGAAATTGCACATTCTGCCATTACTGAATACCATTTTCACTTAACGCATATTTACAATTACATAGCTAGTCATAGGTATCATCTATATACGTATATTTACAGTT